TTTTCCTTTCTCTCATATCTTCTGCTGGTTTTCCTGTCTACATTTCCTTTCCACATTGCCTGTGTTTCCTCTCCTTACCACTTGGCCTGTGTTTCCTTTCTCTGCTCTTGCCCATCCAAGCTGGTTCAGCCCAAATTAAGCTCTCCGGCTTTCCTCAGCTCGGCTCCTTCCCTTCTTCCATTACCCTTTGGGGAGCTTCCCTTCTCTCCTTTAACCTCTCTGTCTCCCACTTTCTCTGGCTGCCTTGGTGCCAGCCTGAACTCTTGCATTCCCCTCTGTCTTCCTCTGAAAGGGCCCAGGATCTCAGCCCCCTGGCTGTGGGGAGGAGACACCTTCCCATCCTATAGCTCCTGCATGGACACAGCTGTAATGGAAGCTGCTGGAAATGGTCCCTCAGATGTTACTGCTGAGAGGAAGTAACTAAGGGGCATGGTCTCTTCAGGATAAGTTGCCCACAGAGCCAGTGCCAGCTGTGGTTGCTCTCATCTCTAGGCTCTGGACTGCTTTCCTAGGAATCTCCCAGTTTCAGATGGCAAATGGTAATAACAGTGCCTTGTGGAGAATCAGGACAGAGGATGAGAGCAGAGAAAGATGTGGAGAGCCAGAGAGATCAAAGACCACAGCAGCTAGGAAGGACTGAAAGAGTTCAGACAGTGGGCGTTAGGTGTTGTCGACCCCTGTGCTCAGCCTCCTCTCCCTTCCTCTCCGGTTGGAGGCTGGGATGTCTCTGGCAAGTGGACTTCCTGTGGCGTCACCAAATGCTGGCCCTTCTGATGAGTCACTATGGCCACTTCCTGTCCTTCAGTGATATGGCTTGTGTCTAGATGTCCCCCCAAAGCCTCATGCAATCACTGGGGCATGCTTCTAGAGTATGTGATTAATTCATGATCCAGTGCTGGGATTGTGGGTGTGAGTGCTACACCTGCGCTGGGGTGGATACCTGAATACAATGTAAGGAGGGACAGAGGCTTGATAGAGGCTGCAGCTGCTGCTCCTGCCTTTGCTTTCTGCTGTTTTCCACAGCCATAAATGGCTGCCCTCTGCCATGAGCCACCGTGCCTTGGAGCCAGCCAAGTATGGACTGAAACGTCCACTAACTAATTGAAATTTGCTTCCATTTTCATAGGCAAAACAGGAGATAAGCTGTAAACCTTTCCTTTATTTTGGGAGCTGTGTATTCTGTCCAGCAATGAGAGAAGAGTAACTGAGACACGCAGTCTACTGTGAGCCTCTTGTTCCTCTCAACACACTTCCCAAACAAGAAGTACATCAGAAATAAAGACTGTCCCTAACTATGGCATTGTCTCTTAGGAACATTTCTGGTTGGGAAGATGAGAGAAATGTGCAAACGCATGGAAGGCAAAGCACTGACCTACCTGACTGGGAAATTATCACTGTGAGATCCGCAGGCACTAGGCAGGGCGAGAGGAGCAGCAGAGCCCATTCTGGGAAGACTGGCCTGGCTCCAGCCCTGCTTATTGCTGGTCTGCCTTTCTCCCCAACCACTTAGATCTTTGTCTTCCTCTACCTTTTCCCTCCTTTTATCCATTCTTCATTTTTCCCAGAAGCACCTTTCTAAAGCACCAGCTAATTATGTTTCTCTGTTTAAATGCCTCTCATTGTCATGGCTCACCAACTCATCAAGATATGGTCCCTACCCTTAACAAAGCACACCAAGGTTAGTGATCTGATCCCCAGGCATCTCTATCCTCACCTCTGTCACAGCCTTTCTCCCCCTCATCCCCTGCTCTGCTGACTCACACGTAGCTCTAACAATATGCTTCTTTTCTTTTTGCATTTGCTGTTCTCCTTGCCTGCAGCAATCCCCCACACTCAGCCCGGAAATCTCTTACATATTTTGAATTGATACTTCGTGGTGCTGAAGAAAAACATCTTCTATAACCAGAGATTTTTTTTTTTGGTTTGTGAAAAGAGAATAGTCTGTTGTGTTTAATCTGAGTCTAGCCTCCCTCCAGCCTGGGTCATTTTCTCCCTGGGGCAAGAGAAGGCCACCTCTCTATCCAGTTCCCAAACCCACATTAAGAAAGACTCTTCATGATTGTGTGCCATGACCATTACGCTTTGATTTTTTTTTTATTTTTAAAGAGAAAAGCAATAAAAAAATGATATAAAATTTCAAAACAAGATTCTAGGAGAGTATCAGTGGTTAGTATATTGCCTATTGTTATCTTCAAAGTAGTTTCTCAGATTACATGGTATGAGCATCAATCATGGATCAAACGATGTAAGCATAAACCTTTCATTTTCATGAACTAATAACGGTTAGGAGTATAACTTCTATCCTGTCATTTATTTTTCTTTTCACTTTCCTTTTTTCTTTTCACCCATCACAGTTTACAGGTTCCCTCTGAACAGTTTCCTTCCATTTCTCAAAATCTACTGTATATTTTGGATCTTATTTACTCTTTCAACTTCTTATAATAAGGAGGTAATATGATGTTCACACACGTGAGACTGATTTATTACACGTATGGTTAAGGTCTCAAGTTGTATCTATTTACCGTCAAAAGCCTCAAGTCTTTCCTAAGTCAAAGCTGAGTAGTACTCCACTGTATGAAAATGTCACATCACTTTTATCCATTTCTTGGTTGATGGGCCTTGGATTGTTTCCAAGATTTAGCTATGATAGGGTGTGCTGCTAGAAAAAATGGGTGCACATATATCGTGGTGGTAAGATATTTTTAATTCTTCTAGGAAGATACCCAGAAGGTTTGGTCAAATGGGACCTCCGATCCTAAATTTTGAGGACTATCCACACTGATTTCCACAGTGGTGGCACCAGCCTACACTCCCACCAAGAGTGGAGAAGGGTTCTTTATTCCCCACTGCCCTTCCAGCATTTGTTACTGCTTGACTACTTGATGATAGCCATTCTTTCCAGAAGAGATGGAATTTCAACATAGTTTTAATTCACATCTCTTGAATGACCAGTGTTGTTGAACATTTTTTCATGTATTTATTTACTGTTTATATTTCCTCATCTGAAAACTACATGTTCATCTCACTTGCCCATTTTTGGATTAGGTCCCTGACTCTTAGCCCAGTACTACCATGTTAGTGATCTGATTCCCACACGTCTCTATCCTTGTCTCTATCATAGCCTTTCTGCTTTTTATCTTCTGCTCTGCTGACTCACATGTAACTTTAAGAATATGTTATTGTACACTTAATTTTTCATGTCTGTTAATAATTGTCTTATATAGTTGGGTGTTACCATATGTGGTACATGTATACTCATGATTGTTATCTCTTCCTCTAGAAGTTTTCCCCTAATAAGTCCATAGGAATTTCTTTATCTCTTTGGATCTTATTGATTTGACGTTCAAATTGTCTGCAAACAAAATAGTTACCCCTGCTTTTTTCTGGGTTCCAGTTGCAAGGAGGATTGCCTTCCAGCCTTGGATTTTTGGTGTATAAATTTCTTTTTAAATTAAATGTGTTTCTTGTATACAGCATGTTGTTGAGTCTTGTTTATTGACCACTCTGCCAGTCTGTTTGTTTTGATTGGTGAATCGAGGCCACTTACATCCATGGTTATAATTAGTACGCGTTGGCTTACCTTTGCCACTATATTTTCTTGCTGTGGGTTCCCCTTTTTTTCCTTCTGTTTAATTTCTTGCCCTGCCTCCTGTTTTTTTTTTTTTTTTTTCCTGTTGTTTTTCTTGGAATTGGGCTTAAGAGCTGAATTAAGCAAATAGTGGTGTGACCAGCGGGAGGTCACTTCGCCTCTCTGTCACAGTACAAAATCTAATGTGTCATGATGATAACAGCTCGTGTCCTTAAGCAGCCCTCAGACACCGTGTAAAGGAGTGAGTGCAGATTGTTTAATCAGTTCTTCCATAAATCTCTAAGGTCTTTATCCCCACTTTTGCAGCGCCATCAGGACGCACGGAAAGGCGATGCAACATCCTCGAGACCATATTGCTTATCAGGGAAAGAACAGATTTCACAATAGATCTGTGTGGCTCACAAGGCCGGGTTCTTAACCGCACACTACGAAGGACTGGGAAATGCACGCGTTAGCAAGCCAGGCCGAAAGCAATGAGTTAGCAAGCTTTTCATCAACAGGACAGATAGGAAGTGTTTTTTAACTTTTGTATAGGATTTGTGTAACAGCTAATGGACATGGTCCCTGTAGTGCAAAGGGCATACCTGTGTTGCTTAAACACTCTGATTTAGACATTGTATGCTCTTGAGATCCCCAAGAGAGGGCAAGAAGGCAGGGGTCTCCTTGCAGCACGGAACAGTGCAGGGATGACTAGAAAGAGGAAGGGGCTCCCAGGCAAAGGAAGAGATTGTATCCCAATGGAACTGCACATGGCATGGGGCTGGCTGACGATAATGGGGGTCCCACACTTGGGGGTTCCCCTTGCTGGCTCTGGCTGGGACAATATGACAAAGCTTTTGAGCAAGGCTGTGCCCAGTAGTGATGCTGAAGGGTGCCCAGGTGCCCAAGAACTGCAGACCTGGCAGGACTGCTGAGCAGAGAGGCCTGCTCAACAGGTGGGGCAGCCTGGGTGGGAGGGGAGGAGCTCTCGTTGCCCGCTGGCTCTCCGCAAGGACTTCCACTGGTCCTCACAGGGAACTGAGATGTGTGCAGGAATTCATCTTTTTATGTTTTCTTAATGAGAAAAAAAACATAAAATAGGAGTGAAACAGTTTCAAAACAGGTTAATAGGACAGTTACAATAATTAATACATTGCATACTGTTGTCACATGTTGTTATATACATAGTTATTCAGCAGACAAGATGCAGACATGATATCTTGTCTAAATCATAGTACAAACCTTTCTTCTCAGTGAACTACATTTTTTTAAGTTTTAAAAGAACGTACTTTAGGGTGAGCAAACGTAAATCGGTTGAGAACGGGCTCAAAGACCACACCAAAGCTTTGGCTCTCAGTAAAACGTTTGGCTCGATGCAGCGGTCATTACCTCAGGCCTCAGAGCACATTCTTCAGAAGGCTTTCTGGGGTACACTGTCCCGCCCCTAAAAGACTAGCTTACCAGACCAGCTCTGGTTCGCCAGGTCCAGGGTCTCCAGCCTGCGCATGCTCCGTGCCTGCCTTGCCGCTCTCCAGCGCTGCTGGCCCCCTCCAGGGACAGCACGCCATGAGCTGAGCTGTGTGAGCGCACAGCCGGCTGTGGCCTGAGAGGCGCTGGGCCTCTGCTGCGGGATGCCACGCTCAGCCGCGTCCCTCCGTCCCTGCAACTGCAGCGCGTGGCTCCTGCTCTGCCCTGTGTCCCACACTGCCGAGCCTTTCCGTAGAGATGCTTTTATTACTTTTGGTATAGTTTACCCTCAGCGATCCTGCTTTCAGTCCTTATCTCCATCTTTGCAGATTCATTCTAGAATTTGGTGGAGAATTAAACATTTCCTGACTATCCTGCCATCGATAAATTCCCTTGCACCCCTATCGAAGACTGGCGAATCTTTTGATTCCCTCCAAACTCTTGGAAGCTTTCCTAATTGCTACAATTTCCTAAATAATGTAATTGTTTAGCTGTGATTTGAGAAATTTCTTTTCAGTGTCATAAAATTCATGTACTGAACTTCATTTTCCAGCACTGGAATTGTTCTTCCATCCCTTATACTGTATTGTGGAGATTTTGTCCTCTCCCGATTCCTATTTCTCCCTCAGTGTTTCCAATCAACAAGCTGTAGGCTGTCACATCATGTCACAGGACACAGCTGTGGTAGTCTTCTGTCCAAGCTGTGTCTATATTTTTGAGCAAAGGAAATTGGAGAAGAGGTCAGGTGCTGGCCAGGAACATCAGGAAGCAGGACCAGAAGGAGAGAAAAGGCAGGCAGGGTCCCATCCTGAGGTCAAGGGCACCTGCTTGTGTAGTGCGCTGCCGTCATAGGCAAGCCCTGGTGCAGGGCGGGCTGTTCTCAGACCCAAGGCTGTGTACAGCAGGAAGGATGCTGCGTGCAGCCAGTTGAGCCCGCACTGGGCCCAGGCGTCGCCTTCAGACCCCGGTCTCCTGCCAGGCTCCATTGGCTTCTCACAGAGCGGTCACACAGCTCTGGCTGGAGCACCACAGAGCCGGGACCTTTCTTGCAGGAAGAGACATGAGCAGGATTTACGGTGGAGAGAAAAGAACACTCAGAATGGACGGCCAGGCCTGGGCGAGTCTACACAATGAAGAACACCCTGACAAGCCAGATGCCACCCCCTGTGTGGCATCTTCACCCACTACTAGAAGGGCTCATCTTTCTGCCTCTTCCAGTGGGATGCGCCGTGCCCCACTCTGAGGAATGACCCTGCCATGCTGAGAGAAGCAGTCGCAGCTTTCTTACCTGCAAGAAAACCTTTGCAAAGCAAAAAGGTACAGGAATAAAGGTCCGTAGCTCCATGTTATAGTAGCACCTCGGTTCATGAATTCTTTCTACGATTCTGGTCACAAACTGAATAGGATGAATGTAGCCAGTGTAGCATCTGAGCTGTTTTTCTTAAGTTTCTCCTCAGCCCTCTGTGCCCAGGCCACTCCCTAAATCTTTTCTCCCAGCTCCTTGGGGTTCTGCCCTCATCTCTGCTTTGTCACAGCTGCGCTTAGGCTTGCTCAGGTCTTCAAAGCCATCTAAGGCCACCACAGTAAGTCCTTCTAGTGTCTGCCTCTGGGTCCTGCTGTTAGCGGAACACAGTGACAAAGCTGCTGAGCTGCTGTCGAACAGCTCTGCACCTCGGAAGGTGATGATTTCTTAGCTTGTTTTCCTTCCTTGATTTGGTTAAAAGCCTTCCAAGCTCTCTGAATGACACACATAGTATTCTTCCAGTCCTCTTCACCTAATAAACAATATGGTATCTAAAGCCCCCTGGTATATTTCACAGGAAGGTAAGATCCTACAGTAAGATACCAT